GGGGGGGGGGGGGGCAGTGAGAGGGAAGGTAATGGAATTGAACCCTGAGCTCCTGTGTAATATCACACCCACATCCAGATGAGTGAGGCAGGGTCCCCTCCCCAAGGCCCACTGTCCCTAGCATCTGATGTCCCTATTGTGTGAGTGGACATCCATCTGTTTTCAGGTTGACAGGTGGTGGGGCTGGTGGGCAGGCAGGGCTGGAACCAGAGGCAGGTTGTCCAGTCTGCTTTGATTTCTGGTCCTTGGTGAGGGCTTGTCTACGAGGCCCAATTTTTCATGTCTTGGGAGCCAAGGGAGACAAAAGATGCTGGGGAGAGAGCACCGGATGCCAGAAAAAGTGCCAGGGCTCCTTGTCAGCTCGCTACAGCTTAATTCTGCCCGTCCCCGTGAGCTGCTGAAGAAGGTTGTGGCCATTTAAAAATAGTGTTTCAAGAGCCCGAAAACATGGATTTGCTTGGAAATCAAGCTCACAGGGTGGGACGGAGGACATCATCAGTCTCTAAGCCTCATGGTGCGAGTTTGTCTTAGAAAAATAATTTGCCTTTTGCAGCCCAAGGTGGGGGACCTGCCCCCATCCAGACCAGGGGAACCCCGTGGTTCTCCTAGGTTTAGGAAGCCATGACTTGCTCTCAGGATTTTAATTTTTCGGGGCCGGATGATAGGTGATTTTACATGCTACCCCAAAGATGAGCACAGACAGGCGTTCTGGGACTAGTGGGTGCCCCCTTTGGAGATTAAATATTTCCCCGCTCATTCTAAAAATACCCAGAGAGGTGGAAGACCCACACCAAAGAGTGGATGTGCTGCATGTTTATTATTTGAAGATAACGTCTCAGCGATGATCTCGACATATTTTTAACTCCAGTCTGGTTGGTAAGGGGTAGGGATGGTTTACACGATCCTTAAACTGCCGTCTCTCCTTTATTTACCCTTTTTAAACTTTTTTCCCCCCTTAATGGTTCTAGTGAAAACAGCCTTCTCAGGAAAGGTAATGCCTGTATGCCCCATTTCCTCTCAGCCAGTGAATCTATTTAGAAATTGCAAATAATTTACCCTTCCTCTCACTTTTCTCCTACCATTGGATTTTTTTTTTCCCCAGGAGAAAAGTAAAATTTTAAGCTACTTCCACCCACCCTCATATTGTAGTTTTCCGAGTCCTGAGACCCGGGAGTTCTAGATGCCCTGAAATAGAAATTGGTTCTGATCTCCCGCGGTCACTCTGCTGTAAGAGGAAGGGCTAAGGCCAGGTGCCACTCGAATGGGCCTTTGGGAACTCAAACTGACCCCCAGAGACCGGCCGACCCGTGGATGACCCCCCCACGCAGGGAGCATCGTGTGCTTTCTGACCGCCTTGCCTTTCGGTGAACACAACTCGATTTGATGAAGCTCCAATTTTCGTCAACAAATAATGTTGAGCAATCGTGTGTTTGATGTTCCCAGGCATGTGGCTGAAACCTTTTGAAGGCGAAGGGTGGAAGGCGACAACCCGTTTGTAAGTCAATTCTTTGCCAATTTTGTTTCCTGCGGTGCTCTCTTGGAAAAAAAATAATAAAAAAAAAAATGAAAAGAAATTTTAATTCCTCCGTCAGCATTTGTTTTCACCCACCTGGTTTCCCTTGGGCTCAGCAACGATGAGGGGAGACTTGTCTTCCACTCTAGAAATACAGCCAAAACAAAAAAACCAACCCCCCCATCTACAAAGATTCTCGGGCGCCATGCTGCCCATCGATGCAGAGTGGCTCAGATGCTCTCCCCAAATTTGAAAAGTCGAAAGCAACTTCAGAGTTTTACCGATGGAGCCAAAAAGTCAGGAGATGCGAGGGTCCGAGAGGAGGCAGGTCTGTCCTCAGCTTGCTCTAGGTATTGGCAGTTTGTTTCCAAATCGCTTGGCCTTTGTTCTGGGGTAGGGATGGGCCTGAGATCCCTAAACCTTCCTTCTAAAAGGGAGGTTAAGGGACTGCCTCAGGCTAAAGAGCCTCTCTCCTTTTTAAACTTCGGAGGGACTTTTAAAAAGTCATTATTACTATACTATCCAGGCAATAAAACTGGCGTTCTTGGGAAAGTAGCTGGAGCCCAGGAAACCACTAGATGATGTTCCCAACTCCATGCATCCTCTCTGAGGAGCCCCAAAGCATGCAGCGGCCAAGATCTCGTTCCAAAGCATACCGTCCACCAGAGGCAGGGAGGTCAAATGGACCCAATACGTAGATGGGAGAAGTGAGGCCCCCAACGTGGGAAATGGGCCTTGTAGCCGGAAACTGAGTCAGCGGAGCCTGGACAGGGAAGCTGGGATGCTCAAATAGGGCGAGGCTGGGGCCTTGTCCAGGTGGGCACTGTGGGAGAGGCTGGAAAAGAGTTATTTGAGCGCACAGGGTGGACCTGGGTCTGCTTGTATGTGTTTTCATCCTACGTGCAGAAGGTTGCCTTTTGGTTGTCAGCAGAGAGTTAGAGTGTGCTTGGCTTCCTGTCCGGCTCCCTGATTTCCTGGGGGACAGAAGAGGTGGAGAGGGGTCTCTGGCCCCTGCAGAGGTCCCTCTAGGCGGGCACAGCCTTGGTGAGAGGGCAGGCGAGCAGGTCAGGAGTGAGTGTGGACGTGCAGGGTCTCTGTGCAGCCGTGGAAAGGAGGGCCCAGCGGTGGGAGAGGGACCCCCCTCCCAACACTGCTCAGGATAAAGTTTCCGGAAGGTTCGTCTGTGCCAGGGCCGTCGGTGGTGTTGCTTCCTTCCCATCTTTCGCTGTCATCTCACCCATGTAGACCCCGCTTGCTGCCACCCATCGGAGTCCCCCGGGGGCCCAGGCCTTTTCTCAGTTGTGATCCACAAAGCTATCAGCACCTGTACTTCCTCCCCCATAAGAAACAGCCCAAGGGGGATCTGTGTCTGGACTCCTGCTCCAGACCTGGGGGTGTGTCCCTTGGTGTTAGGGTTCCACCAGGGACTTGTGTTCAAGGGAGTCCCCTGGGAATGCAGGCTGGGCAGTGCCAGGTGGCAAAGGAGCAGGAGGTGGGCCCCTGTGCGGCCCCGCCCCCAGAGGAGAGGCCACACCCCTCCACCCGCATTGGTCCGCCTGGTGTGGCCTCCCCCCAGGGTGCAGGAGATGGTGCGAGCTTGTCTGCTGTCTGCCCATGGACGTGCCTAAGGTTTGGGCATTGACTTCTGTTTTCCAAGGGGGAGGGAGGGGTGGCAGGACCTGTGCGAGAATTTTTGAGAACGACCGGGAGCCCATTCCTGTTGTAGCTAAAATCAGGCGGTGGCTTGCATTCGTGGGGCCCCGCACCCTCCGTCAGCAGGTCAGGGGACAGCCCCGTTTCTCCAAGCGCAGAGTGGACCCCCTCTGCTTTCTGCTGGCGTGCAGCTCGGGGAACCTGGACTCTCACCTAGGCCCCTTCCTCCCCTGTACCCCTCATTCATGCATGCTACTGGCATCTGCCCCCCTCCAGCGCCTCCCCCTTGCCCTGCAGCCTGCCCCCCCA